AGAAATATCTCCGTGATGTCTCGTGAAAGCTCGAGAGGGAACTGACAAATTATTCATGTATTTTCATTTCTCATCCATTGGATCATTACAGAGACTGATGGTTTTGAATCCTTTGAAAAAAGCAATTCAAATGAACTGCACATAGTATTAGTTTTTAAATCATAAGTACAGTGGAGAAGATCACAGAAACACGAAACAATTAAAACAATTAAAGTGAAAAGCCTAATGTAGCACCTCGCTTTTCAGACCGATGAGCTTTGTAAGAAATTACGTGTTTCAGAAAGGCGGGGCATAGAGGAGAAACAATAATGTACAGTATGTGGAAAATAATGTGTTTTTTTAACCTTAAGCCGCATAAACACATTTCATTACACCAAATACACCAAATACTGTTCTTTTTAGCAGCATCATATGACCCCTTTAATCAGCGTCATTATCTTTTTGGAATCTGTCAAACTTATTATTTCTCTTTTTTTGGAAACTTTTTTGGCTATGGTAAAGTATAAATCAACTTCTCATTCTGAAAACCAGAACGTCCCAGTGAAGGTTTAAGGATGTGCAGATCTGATGACCATGGAATGAATTTGACTTCATCCTGGGGTTTATGAAATCACTCTTCAATTTGTTTAGGGGCGTCATCATTCTGGAATATGGGAACATTATAAGGGAACAATGTTGCATTATTTTGCACAATAAAACTGCCTCATTCCATGGTCATTCCAAAAACATACAGACAAGCAATCATTGGATCAGATGACAAGCAAAATAGCTGTGTATACCTCACCATGCTTCATAGCTGGTAACAGACAGGGTTGAAGGCATCCTTTGTCTTCATATGGTAACTGGATGTAGGAAATATGAAGGATGACTTATTATTTAGTTCTCACACCAGATTATGTGTCTCTTAAATACATGCAGAATCTGAATGAGAGTTTTATTTTGTATGTATGCACAATTTGTTTTTGTCTACAAATCTAATTGCAAGCAATTCAGCATAAACCCTCATATTGAGCTCATGAGAGGAATAAATTCAGTCAAGTGTGTCCAAACGTTTGACAGGTGCTGTAATACGATTAATCTCTGCCGCTGCATTTCTAATTATAATTATACTTCAAAATTAACCTCCTTTCCTATGGTGTTCTGCTATTTTTGTCCACCCTCTATGACTCAGAAATAGATTCCATTTAATAAACCGAAGTAGGTCACCCATTTTAATACAGAACTGCTTTATCTATAAATGCTCTGTTTGTTGTAGTTAGCTGACTTTGGCTTGTCCAACCGCTACACGAGAGGCCAGTGTCTGGACACGTTCTGCGGGAGCCCACTGTATGCATCTCCAGAGATTATCAATGGACTTCCTTACCACGGACCTGAGGTGAGATCTCCTGCCTTAACAGTTACTCCGATTGCTCACCTTCGTGAAAGTACACTTAAGCATGCTTTTAAAAAGAGTACTTATTGTGCAAATAATGTAATATACTTAAGTGTGAGCTGAATGTAATGTTTTGACTCTTGATTGCATGTTAATTGCAATTAAATTAAAATGTATTATAGTTTAAAAGTATATTAAAGGCATTTAGCTGAGTGCTTTCTGACCCACTTAAGTGGGGCTTAAGTACATCTTTATATGTAATTTCATAATTACTTCTATTGTCTTTGTAATATGGTTAAAGGTTACTGCTGAATGAACTAACACAATTCTAGGTCATGCATTTAGATATATTCGTAATTACATGTTTGTAATGAAGATGCAATTTAGTACACTTACATTCATTTTACATGTATCATAAAACACACGACAGTTATAATTATAATCAAGTACTTAACATTTGCTTTTGTATGTTAGTCAACATGTCAAAATAAGTCTACTTCCTTAAAGCATGACAAAAGATGATTAAAATGTGGTTTAGAATGTACTTTAAAGAAAAACTTTTAATTTGACATTATTAAAAAGTAAACATTTAAAGGGACAGTTCACCCAAAAATGACGATTCTGTCATCATTTATTCACCCTCATGTTGATCCAAACCTTTATGACTTTCTTTTATTCTTTGGAACATAAAAGAAGGTATTTTGAAGAATGTTGGCAAAGGGTTTTGGGTCCTATTGACTTTCATATTATGAGCAAAAATACTATGGAAGTCAGTGGGAACCGAAAACCTTTGGTTACTAATATTCTTCAAAATATCATTCCACAAAAGAAAGGAAGTTATACAGGTTATTAATATTATATCATCTGCAAGTAAATTGATTGAGAGTACACTACAAGTGCACACTGAATACAATTAGGCATTCTTATTTTGTATTTTTTTTTCCTACTATGGAAGTCAATGGCAACCACCAACTGTTTGATTACCAGCAATCTTCAAAATATCTTCTACGGGTTTGGAACGACATGAGGGTGAGTAAATGATGACAGAATTTTCATTTTTGGGTGAACTATCCCTTTAAATCCCAATGTTTGTACGGTAAATACATCTTAAGCAATGCTTCTTCTGCTCCTTTTATATGTCAGGTGGACTGCTGGTCTCTGGGTGTGCTGTTATATGCTCTGGTTTATGGCTCCATGCCTTTCGATAGCACAACTTACAGCGTCCTTAAAGAGCAGATCCGCCACGGACGATATAAAACCCCTGATGTCCTGTCAGGTGAGATTCACACACTCTCATATATCTGCCCATCAACGTAACATCATGAGTGAGGATTTCCCATGATTCCTTCAATTCTTCCTACAGAGGCCCGTTCATTGATCGGATGGATGCTCACAGTGAAAACAGAAGACAGAGCCACTGTGGAAGACATCGCTAACCACTGGTGGCTAAACCTAAACTGTCCCAAAGCTAAAGAGATTAAACCGTGCGCCTCCACTCTACCCAGAAAGAAACATAAGGAAAGAACATTGACCTCAAACAGCAGCTTCGTTCTGCTGTCGCCTCTTGAATCGTCTTCCCACAACCAGCCCACGAAGGGCATCCTGAAGAATCTCTACAGTCAGCTTGAGTACACAGACAGGTCTGGGGCTGCTGGAAACAGTACGGCAGCGACTAGCGAGGACGTGGAAAGAATCGGGACAGATAACGGGAGGAAGAGGAAGGGCATTCTTAAATGTAACGGCAAGTTCTCCGGGGTTTCTCCAATCACGTCGGCTCCTACGTGGTCACATGGTTTCAGCAAAACTAGCCAGGAGTGTGATGGAGGTGAGCAGCAGGAGATGGAGTTTGAAATCAAGATCTCCCTGTGGAAAACACACCAGTCTACAGGCCTACACTTTCCACAGAATAACTATTTTGATAATGTACAATGATTGTAAATGCATTGAATTTAATAACAAAGAATATAGGTAACACTTTTTAGTTCAATTAGTTGAGTGCATGAACAATCTTATGTAGCATTTATTAATCTAGGTTAATGTTACTGTATTATGTTAAGTAGAAAATATGAAAAAAAAAGTTATTTATTGTATTTATTTAATTTATAAATATACTATTGGTCATTGTTAATTTACGTTTGTTTGCAATGTTATACAACTATTAAAATATATATTAGAAATATGTAGAAATGAACATAAACCTAGATCAATAAACACTGTATAAGTACTGTTAAATAATAATAATGAATTAAAAATGATTGCCATAAACACTTCAAAAGTACATTTTTAAATAAAAACTGAAATACTTTTATTCTGCAAGGATGCATTAAATTGATCAAAAGTGACAGGAAGTACATTTATAATGTTGCAGATAAATTCTATTTAAAGTAAATGTTCTTTTTAAACTTTTTATTCATCAAAATGTATCAATGATAAGTGTAAAAATGTAACTATGTTAATAATAAATACTGATTTCTGAAGGATCATTTGACACTGAAGACTGGAGTAATGATGCTGAAAATTCAGCTTTGCGTCACAGGAATAAATTACATTTTACAATATATTCAAATAGAAAACAGTTATTTTAAATTGTACAAATATTTCACAATATTTCTGTTTTTACAGACTAAATAAATACAGCCTTGGTGAGCAGAAGAGACTTCGTGCAGCACAAAGCTGCATCATTTGACCTGTAACACTAATCATGGTGAACAGAACAACAGAACATGCTATTGAATAACTCATAACCATAATCATCTGGAAATACCTGAGATATTAGAGCTGCTAAGATAATGTGTACTGTGAAATTGCTAATAACCCAGGTCAATTTGTTTATTTGCCTCAAAGGACGTTAAAGCAGCTCTGAATCCGCTAATCCCAGCCCAAAAGAATAAAGGCTTTGTCCGGAGCTACAGTCGTGCCATTCTCACTTTATGCTGGCATAGAAAATGGGCAAGAGTTTGAGGGCACGTTCATACAAACTTTTGCTCTCTGGCTCTCATTTGCTTTCTCACGTGAAGAGAAAATACGCTTTTTAGACTGATTAGCATTACAGTAGAATTAGTATTAAAATCTCAGTTAAGCAGCGCTGTTTGGTCTTGTGTGGCCTATTAAGCGGATCGTTTTTATTCTTTATTCCCTTCATCGTTTGACCGAATGAATGAGGGGATATGTGCAGTGTTTGTAAAACACTTTCATTTTTTGAGGAGTACCAAATGAAAACGCTTTGATAAAATGATCGTACTGAACGCCAACACTTTTGTCATCTAAAACGTTTTTAATAAAAAGAGTGGAAAAAAATCCACACATATTTAGAAAACATTTAATCTCTCCGAAGTTAAATTACAAACATAATCTACATCTTTACACACCGTTGACAGCGAGAAAGTCCGTTCAAGAGTTGTCAGAGAAGACTTGACCCATGACAGCCAGTTTGGCACTGAAGGGCTGTGTGGGGCAGGAGAGCACCCGAGCTTTCCTCCTCTCTCCCGGCTTCAGTGCAATGCTCTCTCGTGAGCCGCCGGCGCCTGGCGTCTCCTCTGATTGGTCCGTCGCAGGCCTGAGTGGTTCTGAGAGGCTGATGAGTATGTCCTGTAGTTCCCTGCGCTCGCTCTGGTATCGGCTGCAGCAGTGGAGCGCGGCGGGGTCGAGCGGATGAGCCTCTGTGTTAAACACATAGCCGCCCGCGCTGAGTATACAGTCGCCCTGCAGGCCGCCCAGCTCGAACTCTGTGCCCGAGTTATGAAGGAAGTTTTCAGGATCGAAGAGGAGGTAGAGGTATTTAATGGTCTCGGCCAAGAAGAAGGACTCCATGCGGTTGTCCAACTTGTGGTCCCTTACATCCTTCACCTTTGGCAGAAACAAAAAGATGAGCATGTTTAGGGACTGTGCTGGTTTCAGCCTTAATATCACTCAAGTTTTCAGATGCATTTTGAAACGTAACCCTGTAACTCGCAGTGTCTCAAGCTTATAAAGTCGCCGCACTGATTCTGAGAAATAACTTTTTCATTGTTGACTGAATGTGCAAACATTTCAAAGTTTTGCATGTTACCATGTTATTTCTTTCCTTTTTTATTCATTAAAAAATTTGGATTTGGAGAAATTTAGCATTACATTGCATCTTCTGCAGTGAATGGGTGCCGTCAGAATGAGAGACCAAACAGCTGATAAAAACATCACAATAATCCACAAATAATCCACACCACTCCAGTCTAAAAAAAAGTCTTAATGATGAATTTGTTTTTCACAAACATGCAGCTTTTCACTTCACAAACCATTAACTGATGGACTGGAGTGGTGTGGATTATTTGTGGATTATTGTGATGTTTTTATCAGCTGTTTGGTCTCTCATTCTGACGGCACCCATTCACTGCAGAGCATCCATTGATGAACAACTGATGTAATGTTAAATTTCTCCAAATTTGTTCAGATGAAGAAACAAACTCATCTATATCTTGGATGGCCTGGGAGAGAGTAGATTTTCAGTAAATTTTCCATTTTAGGTGAACTATTCCTTTAACTTCACTGAAATCAGGAAATATTAATTGAACTTAATACTCATGACTGCACAAAAACATTCCAAATTTATGAAACCTATTCTTTTTTATAACAAAACAAGATCAAAACAACAAATATTACAATGTTTAGGCGGGGCTGTGCTGGTTTTAGTCTCAGTATTGTTTTGAGACTCGTTTTGAAATGTAACTCTTTTAGTTACAGTGTTATACTTACAGTGGCAAAGCCACAGTTCACCCGGCTGATTTTGTCAATCGACTCGACTGCATCCCGGCCAAGCTGCATGAATGTAGGGTCACCGGTGGCCTTATACAGATACATGGCGCTCTCGATCAACTCTGTACAACACAAACACACACTGAGTGGTTACTTCAGTTTCATTCATATAAATCAAAAACCAAAATGTGAAAAAAAAAAAAATGTGATAGGTGCCCATTCGAAATTTGCTGCTCACATGCCCATTATTTGCCAAGTGCTTGCTAAGGTGTTATGAGGGGTTGTTAGAGCATTGCTAGAGTGTGGCTGTTTGGGTTGCTGTGGTGTTTTAAAGGGTTGTGTTCTAAATGGAATGAGCAATAGTAACAGTGGTGCTTGCTAAAAGCTGGAAAACTCAGAAAATCAGAACAGATTTTTAAACAGCAAGCAACATATATTTGACAACTTTGTAAATGGTTATGAAGGAAAGACAGGGCATCATACATAAACAACTCATAATCTGATGTTTATACTCTTTGACGTTAAAAAAATCTGCGCCCATTGCACTCTACGAGATTTTTTGGTAAATCTGTCAACTCAAATCTGCAGACTGGTTCTGATTTTCAGCAACTTGCATCGGCTCATCCAGGCTGTAATTCAGGGCAAAAATCTGGGAAAATGTTGTGTAGTGTATGCCAGCCCTAAAGCAATATTAACCCTTATAATGCATAAAAAATATTTTGGGGTCAGTTTTGACAGAACATAAGCTTATAAAATAGTCATAATATTTTTCAACAAAAACACATTGTTTCTGACTTCTCATTGAGAGAAAAAGTTTAGCATTACTACACTTACTTTTTGAATTAAAAAAAAAACACTAAAAATACATTTTTGAAGTGTAAAATTACACATGAACTACAGCAAAACAAGTGTGATGCAAGAAAACATATGTATTATTATGGCAGAATTTGTATTTAAATATATTGTTATATAAAATGTATATGAACGTATAATATGAGAGTTAGCAGTACTAACTCCACTGAAATCAACATGATCTTTCATTTGGCACAAAAAAAAAAGTAAAAATTTATGAAACCTCTCTATTCTCTCAAACCAAACAAGATCAAAACAACATGCATTATTTTAGAGAGTTTTCACTAAATATATTTATTTTACTTGCATAAACTTTCACTTCTTTGATGAAAAAGATGATCAAATTTTCATGCTGCAGTAATTTATTAAAAGGTGGCAGCAGAGCAAAATGTGGACTTAACATTTTTCCAACCTTCTTTTTTTTTAGTAGTTTATTTGATATGGTTATTTATTACGTCACATTTGTTGTCTGTTTATAGTGTGTTTATTCATGAATATTCATGTTCATCAACATAAAACTGACGCCACACACTGTAGTAGTTATGGAAGGTCTTTGTGGCACTGGAAATATCACCTATCAAACTCTGATAAACACATGTACATCTCAGATGCATACAGTATATAGATAACAAAGACTTAAAGCTAGTCCAACTGGAGCTTTCCCTTTGTCTTGTGACACACTGGACTAGAGTTTGGTGACAGATCTGCTTCCTCACCTGCAGTCCAGGCCAGAACGCCTCCAGAGACTGAAACACAGGCATTGATACTGTTCCCTTATGCATCTGCACCCACAGATACCAATCATCAAACTTAGTGTAGTTCTTTATGGACTTATCAAATTCTGCAACACACATTCGAAAGTTGATAATGCTTTCACGCAGGCAAGATAAAGATAAACAGCAATTAGTGGAAATTATGATTAGCTATTCTTATCAAAACTAACAGCAATTGTAACACAGCTGCAGTTATTGCTTTACTGATATGTCAGTGTTTACCGTGAAACATTGCCAGCAGCTCCTCATCTTGCAGCATGATGGCCCCCTTTACCAGATACTCGAAGTACGAGTCCACTCCCGCCCCGATCCCTGCGTCCTGAGCCACCCACTTAGAGGTTATGACATCTATATGGTTGCCCACCTGAAAAAATGAGAAGGTTATGTGATAACATGAACACTGAGTGCCAGATTGATCTTTTTCCATATTTGACATCTAATAAATTGTTTTGAACTCCAACTGTTAACATATGTTATATGTATGCTGCCAAATAATTGCTGAAATATTGTAGCTATATACTGTAGCTCATACAAATCAATTAACATCAAACACAGACAAGTTATTATTATTAAAACTGCAATGCTAAAACGCAGGATTACATTTGATAAGCTTTCACGCTTAAACTGACTGCACGCATTTGAAATATTTTGTATTCATATTTAGTGTTGGGGAAAGTTACAATTAAGTAATACTGAGCTACTCCCTAAAAAAAGTAACTTATTACGTTACATAGTTACTTCTTATGCAAAATAATGCGTTGTGTTACTTTTGCGTTACTTTTTCACATCTGGGCTGGGCTTGCTTTTTTATTTTAAATATTAAGAAGATTCTATTTTTGGCATTGGTTAATAAAACGGGATTAAATACTTATAGGATATTTGCGTTATTTAACATATTTAATTACTGCAGGTTTGCATCATATTTTGAGTTTGCATTTCAATGTTTTTATTCATTTTGAGGAATATGTTAGTCTAAAACTCCAGTAACAATCAGGTTTACACAGCGCACACAACGCTTATTTGTAACTTATTTGAAAAAGTAACTCAGATATTTTCATGTAAATTAAAAAGTAATGTTACTTTACTAGTTACTTGAAAAAAATAATCTGATTATGTAACTCGCATTATTTGTAATGCGTTACCACCAACACTGTTCATATAAGTTTTAAAATATCGTCATGATTACATTAATTATTACTAAATTATCTCCTAACTTTTGGCTGCCTGCTCTAAACAGCGTGAAAAACACTCCGCTTGCCTTGTATGATAAATTTGTTTTTAGAAACTCTCAACTGTATATTTTAAAAAACAGAATGAGGTAAATATTTTTCTTATCCAGACTTACTACTATCAAATTCCATGCTTTTCCACACAGTGCAGGAAACCTGGGGTCATATTTATATCTAAAAAAAATTTTTTTTTGCACGTGTGTGAGCATTGTTACTCATTTGACATGCAAAGAGGGTTTACATTGTGATCCTAAAGCCCCATTTAATTCCAGGGGTCAGAGAGAGGGCAGAAAGTGGTCACAAAAAAATTGTTTTTAAAATTAGCATATTTTGGTGCAAAACATGTATATGACCCTATTTAATCAGCTTGCAAATATGTCCAGCTATGCTACATAGCAAAATGCTAAGTGTTAATCAGATTAGGATTTTTATAAGCGTTATGGCGTAGAGACTATAATGATAATCTGTTTTCTATGAACTCAGGGATAATTGGTTGTACACAACAGACAAACATAAACATAGATTTAGTTTTTCAGTCACCTTGTCTTAGTAATTGCTGTTAAAGCGATTAATGCTGTGGTAAGAAAGCACCAGCTAAAGCATACACATTAATGTTATTAGAGGCATTTGGTCAAAGCTTTTCAGAAGAGACTAACAGACTCTTATTCTGACGGCACCCATTCACTGCAGAGGATCCATTGGTGAGCAAGTGATGTGAAGCTAAATTTCTCCAAAACTGTTCTGATGAAGAAACAAGCTCATCTACATCTGGATGGCTTGAGGGTGAGTACATATTCAGCAATTTTTTTCATTTCTGGGTGAACTATTCTTTTAATATTGCCTAATGTGGAGTTAAAACCAAAGAGTGCTGGACTCTGGTGTCAAACGTCTTGATCCAGATCAAAAGATTTTACCAGGCCGATATCTGAGCGTGTCCTCCACAAGGCCCTGAGAGCTTTGCGAGCCACGTTCTCAAACACAGGGTCTCCAGTCAGACGGCTGAGGGTGGAGAACTCCAGGATGAAGGTGCCCACTCCAGCAGTGCAGGTGACCGGGGTCTCGCTGGGGTTCACCCCCCTCAGCAGGTTCACCGTGCCATATGGCATCCCTGTGGGGGTCTGGAAAGCTGAGAAGAGGCAGGATACATCAAACTGACAGCATTATTCAGTTATCATGATCTATTTCCTTCCTATACAGCATGCCAGATTAGCATTAGTGTATCATAAACCATACACACTCTTAAAAATTGGCATCTACGGCTCCATGAAGAACCTTTAACATTTATGGAATATTTTCATTGCACAAAAGGTTCTTTACAGTGGAAAAAGCTTCTTCAGCTTATTTAAATATTCCTCACATCAAGAAAAAAGCTTCTTTAATTTTTTTTACCAAAAACTTTCTTGTGGTGTGAAAACATTTATTTTTAAGAGTGCAGTAAATTGAAAACAGTACATCAAAGTTTGAGGGTGAATGGCATATATTGCATGGGTTTTGGATGTATCCTTGCATGCTCCTTGGGCTCATACTGCTCACATCTCCTTAAGCAATTATGCAAGATGTGTGCACATTTAGTTTTTGTTTGCTGTGAGAACTATTACCATGTATGATGTACCTTTTCAAATCAATATATTTTGGTTTAATACAAGGAAATACAATACATATTCTATGAACTAAAGTGATGAACAAAATCATAATAAATAAATAAAATCATATGCACTCATTAACCTTCATTATTTTAGTATTATTTATATACTACTAAAGTAGGCTATACATTAATATTTTGACTTAGGTTTTATTTTTATATTTGACGTTTAAATTAATTTTAGTTTAAGTATTAGTAATTTTGTTGTATTTATTCATCATTTTTATTAGTTTTGATTTTTCAATATTTTTATACAGTTTTATTCATTTTGTAGTAATTTTTGTACTTGAACTTTTTTTGGTTTAAGTTTTTTAAGTTTAAGTTTTTAATTTAATATTTAATTTATTTCAGTTTTATTTGGGTAATTCATTGCTGGCAAGATGGGGTTTTAATAATAGTTGACTGTCAATGCTGTAGAAAGGCAATTTTACTTTTAAATTGGTGCTACATAACTAGAGAAAATAGAGAAAAAGGGCTGTGGCAAAAAAGGTGGGAAAAATGTAACACTCATAAAGCATTGGATTCGATCAGACCATGTGAGCGAGGATATAAAAATGCATAAGTACTTTGTGTATTGCATTTGTGCATAAGTGTGTAGTTTTCAATTTCAATGTCAAAACTCTGTCAATGTGTTTGGAGATATCTTTGTACAAATGTATTACAAACATATTACACATTTTCTTACAATACCGACATCTTAACAGTATAAAGCTGGTTGGAAACTGTTAAACTAACACTGTCATTAACAAAACATTTTGCTCAGTGACTGTGGTGTACTAACATTTACATTCAATCATTTTTGCAGACGCTTTTATCCAAAGTGACGTAAACGATTCATGCTAAATATGTTTCAGACAGCGACGTAATTGCCCTATTACTTATTGTTAGCTCCCTCACCAGGCAGCAGTTTGCGGGCAGCGTCCTCTGCCATGCGCAGGAGGGGTCCGGAGCAGGGCCAGCCCTCCTCCACCTCCATCCCGGCACGCTTGGAGAGCAGATGAGCCGAGAGGAGCCCACCGACCACTGCAGATGAGATTTGATCATGTGACCAGAACATCAACACGTGCACTGGGGAAACTGCTTGAACGTCAGCGACTACAGACGAGTGCTACAGGATAAGTACGTTTCCCCAAAACAAGCCCAGGTAATACTGAACCCCAAAATGAAAAGAAAAATTGAAGATATTCTGTTTTGCATGACAATAAAGCACATTACCATATTTAACAGTAATGCAAAAATAATTATTTATTAAAAATATTTATATGCACAGTTTTTTAAATTTTGTTATATTTTGAAATAAAGCTCATCTATGAAGGCTGGTGACTTTACCTCGTATATTCGTCTCAAACACAGACGCATTTACATCAATGTCGAAATCCACCGTGTCCTGGAGCAGAGTGGCCACGCGCTGGAACTCTGTGTGGTTTCCCAATATCTGCGATCAGACAGCAAAAATATTCTCTGCATCTGAACACTGCAGGACATGGAACAATCTTGTTGAATCTAATTTCATACCAGCAATGTGTCCAGAGCATCAATGAGTGTGAGGGAGAAACTGAAGGAAACAAACAGAGAGGTTATGAGGATCTCCCTGTCATAATTAGATGTTTCAAAAAGAGAGATAATATATTACAGACAAAACTCAGTTGTTCAATAGCTGTTGTTCAGGAGTGAATAATGCCACTGAAAAATACAATTGCACCAACTTTCCCAGTGGTCTTTAGGGCCAAAGACACATCACTGAACGTTAAAGAAGTAAAATGAACATTTTACACCAGCAAAGTTTGATCAAGAGAGCCCGACTGCTATTTTAATCTTGTGGAACATTTTTTCTTTTTATGTCATGTCAGCAGCAAGGCCATTTTCATACGAATACAAAGTGAATAAAAGTTGTACAATGAAAATAAAATAAATAAATAATTTTAAAAATCAACCATTTAAGATTAATACAAAATACAAATATCCATTCAGGTGATACTTTTTGATCAAGAGAGCCCGACTGCTATTTTAATCTTGTGGAACATTTTTTCTTTTTATGTCATGTCAGCAGCAAGGCCATTTTCATACGAAGAACAAAGTGAATAAAAGTTGTACAATGAAAATAAAATTAAATAAATCATTTTAAAAATCAACCATTTAAGATTAATACAAAATAAAAATATCCATTCAGGTGATACTTTTTTAAAAATACACTGTAAAATAAATACAAATGTTGCTATTTACATGAATAACTGCAGTCCAGTAAAATATGTTTGACAGTCAAATAAGTCCGACAAGGAAGGCATTATGGTGCTTCTTCACCTTTCAATAAATAATTCTGTGTAAACCTTGAGCCTAGCAAAAACAAACTTAATCATGCCTAGATTTGAAATGACTAAAAATAAATAAACCGATATGACCTGGAGCCCAGCAGAAAAAGATATTGAAGTGTAAAACAGATCTACTTTAGGTAAGATATTTATATTTTTGGGGTGGCCAAGTCTTTACAGCTTTGCGAGATTAAAGCAGGGCTTCAGCTGTAAAGACGTGCTGGGATCTGCATGCCTGATACATAATCTGCCCTCTTCATGATACATAGCTATTAAACAAGTTAAGATACCATGAAGAGGTGCATGTATCTAAAGACGATCAAGTTTGGATGTTTTTGACTAGCCTATCTGACGAAGACCCAAAGGTACTGCTGTCGTTTATATGACCTGGAGCCCAGCAGAAAAAGATATTGAAGTGTAAAACAGATCTACTTTAGGTAAGATATTTATATTTTTGGGGTGGCCAAGTCTTTACAGATTTGCTAGATTAAAGCAGGCGCTTCAGCTGTAAAGACGTGCTGGGATCTGCATGCCTGATACATAATCTGCCCTCTTCATGATACATAGCTATTAAACAAGATACCATGAAGAGGTGCATGTATCTAAAGACGATCAAGTTTGGATGTTTTTGACTAGCCTATCTGACGAAGACCCAAAGGTACTGCTGTCGTTTACAAAAGACATATGCGTAGAAAGAGTTTGTACACAAACCTGCCCCATGTGTCCTGTCCATCACATGTCAGCGGCCTCAACTCATCATAGGGATATGCATTTTCCAAGTAGCTGTTGTATGCATGATAAAACATGGACTTTATTCTGTCCCTGTTAAGACAAATAAAACAAACGAGCGTTAAACAGGACTGATTACCAATATTCTTCAAAGCAGTATCAGGCATTACCCTCACAGGCTACAGGTGACTGGTGTAATAAACACTGAACAAGCCTTCTGCTGACATGTATTTACACATGAGCATATGGCAAAGCTGATTGACTGACAGTAAAGACATGTATTTATACTTGTTAGAGCAGCTGTGATATCTAATCAACTCTATACGGCACCCTGATACTCTGACCTACTTAGTACTGATTAATATTTTGTGCTGAATTTAGCATGTCAGAAAGAAATCTCACCTGTAATGGGACATTTCCTGTTCAGTAAAATCTCTGCCTTTAACATGACTGATGATCGGAGACAGGTATGTGGCGCAGAAAACGGCGGAGAAAAGGAAAGTAAGCATGAAGTAACGAGATGTGAGCAGAGGCAAACAATACAATAATTTCAAGCGACATGGAGAAGCACAAATACTACAAATAGTGACAATAGGAAGTGCACGTACTGCGCATGCGTGTGAGCGAACGCTGACGTGCAGGTAGCTCGCGCTGTCTGGTTTAAAATAAAAGCTCTGAGACTGCGATTGAGAAGATAAAAGTCCTCGGTACTGAAAACACGGCTGTGAAGAAATAAAATGACATAAAATATACAATCAAATGAAATGACATAAAATAGCATAAAATAAAAAAACAACAAAAAAAACAAAATAAAATGAAATAACAAAATGAAATAGCATGAGAATAACATAAAATAAATTTAATTAAATAACAAAATAACATAAAAAAACAAAATCAAATCAAATCAAATAAAATAACAAAAATAACCTAAAACAACATAACATGAAATAAAATAAAATGAAATAAAACAACATAAAATGAAATAACAAAATGACATAAAAACAAAATGAAATAAAATAACAAAATAAAATAACCTAAATCAACATAACATGAAATACAATAAAATGAGATAAAATAAAATTAAACAACATAAAATAAAATTACAAAATGAAATGAAATAACAAAATAACATAAAAAACAAAATGAAATAAAAAATAAAATAAAATAACCTAAAACAATATAACATGAAATAAAATAATAGCATAAAATTAAAATGAAATAGAATAACAAAATTAAATTAAATTAAATAACAACATAAAATGAAACAAAATAACAAAATGAAATGAAATAAAATGAAATAAGAACATAAAATAAAATAAAATAACCTAAAACAACATAACATGAAATAAAATAAAATGAGATAAAATAAAACAACATAAAATAAAATAACAAAATGAAATGAAATAAAATAAAATAACATAAAAAAATAAATAAATAACCTAACATAACATGAAATAAAATAATAGCATAAAATTAAAATGAAACAAAATAACAAAATTAAATGAAATAAAATGAAATAAGAACATAAAATAAAATAAAAATGAAATGAAATAACCTAAAACAACATAACATGAAATAAAATAAAATGAGATAAAATAAAATGAAATAAAACAACATAAAATAAAATAACAAAATGAAATGAAATAAAATAACATTAAAAAAAAAAAAAATAACCTAACATAACATGAAATAAAATAATAGCATAAAATTAAAATGAAACAAAATAACAAAATGAAATAAAATAAAATGAAATAAGAACATAAAATAAAATAAAAATGAAATAAAATAAAGTTTGAAAAAGACACATGCCACTGTTTGAGTCTTTTCAGAGTTTTTATTCATTTATTTTTAAATCGACCTACAGAAAAAGTGGACTTACAGAAGGAATCAACAAAACAAGACTAATCAGCAGCACCTAAGCAGCAAATTGATGATCTATTACTATCCAATACAACTTCAAAGTAATTCAGACAAATAAGCACCTTCTTCTACCCAACACAGGTTTTAAAAGATGAATCCACTGAAAAGGTAGGAGATATGTTACTGAGACAGCTTATCTTGAGTAATTATGTTGTGAATGTACAATTATTAGCGTCAGAACCACGAGAACATGAATAACGTTGTCAACTTTAAATTACTAGAGTTGTAGTTTTGGCTCAATGTGCAGCACCAGATGTGAGTGTCCAAGTGAATATGTGCATCTAACTGTGCATGTAACTGTTTAACATGAATAGCTTTTAAACTTGCTATACATAAATCATATAGTGCTCTCAAATAAAAGATATACAACCAGAAGTAGAAACGTATAACCATAGAGCGTCATGAGTTCAACACAATCTCAGCTTATTATTACACCGAAGGAGTATTATACAAAACACTTGGTGTTTCTTTTTTATTAAAAAGTGAAAGTGAATAAATAATGATAAAGGGAAAGTTATTGTGCATAATGTTTTAAATAATGTGTAGTGGAGCTGAACTGAGACCTGTGTATGCTGTAATTTAATAAGCGGTCACACTCAGCAGCCTCTGCCAGCAGTTTATAAGCATTCCCATCATTTTCATTCTCCGCCGCTGTCTTCCTTTTCCTTTCTTCCCTGGTTTGCAAGATGCTTTTTTCCGTCTACTTGCCTGCAAAATAATACATATTTCTACATCATGTTAAATCCTCTTTATTTCAGATTTTTGTAATTCAGATGAACTTTATTTTAGTGCTGTCAAACGATTAAAAGCATCCAAAATAAACGTTTTTGTTTACATAATATATGTGTGTGTACTGTTTATTTATTATGTATATATAAATACACACACATACAGTATATATTTACATGTATATACATTTATATTCTTATATTATATATATTTAATATATAAACATAACATATTTTTCTTAAACATATACATGCATATGTGTATTTATATATATATACATAATAAATAAACACAGTACACACACACATATTATGTAAACAAAAACTTTTATTTTGGACTTTTATTTTGATTAATCATTTGACAGCACTAGTTTATTTTCATTATTTAATCAACAAACAAACAAACAAAAATCTTTTTATTGAAATTCCTAACAAATTTGATTAAATACATACATTTCTAGATATTTTTACCCTCTGTTTACATCAGATTATAATTATTCAGATCTTATTCCGATATTATTCAGATCACTTTATTTCGATTATTCAATAAACTAACATAAATAGATTTGGATAATTCCATCACAAATAAATAAACAAATACATTTATGGATCATGTTATCCTAATTTTATTTTAGATTATAATTATTTAGTAGAAGTTTATTTTGATTATTTAATAAACAAGGAAACAAATAAATCCATTCCAAGATCATGTAATCCTCTGTTTAGTTCAGATTATAATCTTTATTTTGTAATTGTATTTTGTAATTATAAGCTTTATTTTGATTATTCAATCAACAAACAAACAAACAAACGAACAAACAAAAAAGAAATACATTTTTGATTATTCAATCAACAAATAAATAAATAAATAAATTTCTAGATCTAGATTTGGATAATTCCATCACAAATAAATAAACAAATACATTTATGGATCATGTTATCCTAATTTTATTTTAGATTATAATTATTTAGTAGAAGTTTATTTTGATTATTTAATAAACAAGGAAACAAATAAATCCATTCCAAGATCATGTAATCCTCTGTTTAGTTCAGATTATAATCTTTATTTTGTAATTGTATTTTGTAATTATAAGCTTTATTTTGATTATTCAATCAACAAACAAACAAACGAACAAACAAAAAATAAATACATTTTTGATTATTCAATCAACAAATAAATAAATACATTTCTGGATCGTCATCCTCAGTTTATGTCAGACTATAATTATTCAGATTAACTTTAATAAATAAATAAATAAATAAATACAGTTAATAATAAATATAGTTATTCAAAATAACTTTATTTATTTAGACAGACAAACAAACAAACAAACAAAGTTCTAGATCATTTTATCCTGTTCATTACAGTTTATAATTATTAAGATCAACTTTGTTTTGATTATTCCGTCAACAAACAAACAAACAAACAAACAAACAAACAGACAGATAAATATGTTACCAGTCTCTCTGGTTTGCGGCAGTTTCGTGTGATGAGCAGCTGCATTTGTTCCACCACCTTTGTCATGCGATCTGCATGCTGGTGTCTCTGCCGTTCACTCAAGCAGCTGAAGATTTGGGTCATATTATAGATATATCGCAGGATACGGTGAACCTACCAGCAAAACACACTGTATCGATCATCAAGACACCACCAAACAGAAAACAGCTCAGTGGCAACGGTCTCTGAAAACTTTAAAGACCAAATGCTGTGTTAAGGAAACATACATGTAGCCATGTACAGGTGGCTGTACCTTCTCAGATGGACAGTGGTCCTTTTCGTTTGATAAGTCAAATGTACCAGTCAGATTCTGGCCGAGAGAGAAACAAAACACTCATCCAGTACATCTTCTGCACATCACCAGAAGAGGGCGGCAAGTGACCATATACACACAATCTCACGCCCTGCCTACTTCACACTTTAAATGCTTATATAACGTGTTAGACGATCAGACAGCCACAGCAAGTCAGATTTACTAGAAGTTGACTACATAGTCAGTTTGAAGGCATGAACTGGGGTTATGAGATGCGACACTCACCAGGTTTTGGAGCTCAACCAGGATGAGAGCCCTGTAGGTGCTGATGATGGCAGAATAATCACAGGCGCGTTTACTGTGGGCCGCCGCGAGCAGCAGCATTACAGTCACACACACAGCAGGCCTGTTCACACACATAAACATAAATATAGGAGCCTGATAAAAATACTAATTTTAGAAGAATATTTCAGATGGCTCTTAAGAGGCTTTTGCATCTAAACTCTTCATATACATATACATTTGTCAACTACAAATCAAAGTGCATTTGCTATATGGCTGCTATAAAGTTACATGACAGGATAAAACATGCCATTACACACACGTAGGCCTACAACTACAATACAATAAATTATACAGCCTCTATTACTGTTGTATTATTATATTATATTATATCACATATTATAATTCTGATAGGCCTACATAATAAATAAATAAATACCACATTTAAAGCCTCTATTATTATTGCCTTATTATTTTATTATTCTGATCACAGCATATTAAACATGACTCATTTGTGAAAAGTCTGAGTCCCATTCTGAATTAAAAACTGACTAAATATAATAATAGATTATATAGTTAATATTATAGATAGCCTAATATAATAGCATTATTGAGGCGATAAACCAAACAAAGTAAAAGTAAAAAAAAAAAAAACACACGCACATATCATCATTCCTTCTTTTCCTCACTATTGCCTGACAAATATTGTATTAATTTGGTCGTATTGAGCTACTGGACCAGTTTATGTTTTTGAGGTTTTCCATTTATATAGGCTAATAGAAGAGTAAAACACATACTTTTATACTTACATACATGAGCATGTATAAAAGTAAAAAAAAAAAAAGTATTTGAATAAAATCATGCAGTTTGTGTCACTCAGCTACAAAAAAGCACGTGTTCGCTTATCTGGTAATATTTCTGGACTTAACCTGGTTAATTTACAGTTTGATAACTACACTTTCCTCTGTTTGTATGGTCATTAAACCGTTTATCTGATCACTGAGACGCAGAACAGCAGCAGTATATTGCGCAGTGATGCAGTGGGAGCTTACCATTGACCATGGGATGATGAGGGACTCTGGCGCGCACCAGTCAAGGCTTGGAAAGGTGGACATGGTCCAGCGGCGTCCAACGCCTCTTACATGCTTCTCACAGAAAACTTCAACAACGGTCCGAGCGAGACAAAATAAGCCAACAACCTTAAATACGCGTTTTAGGTCTAGTTTGAGCTGGTGCTCCGGCGAGAGGCGCGTCCATTCCAGCACTGGCGAGAGAAATGCGTCTCAGCCGTCATGGGCTGCTGGCATGGGCTTTGGGTTTCACCAGATCTCTAGTCTGATCAAGTCGAGAAAACTTCCGCGATCAATCAACTTTGCGCTTTGTTTCGGTTTCGGCGGGAGATCACTTTATAAACCTGGTGCACTGAAGGGTCCGCTGCTTAAGTGAAGGCTTTGATTCTTCACCGGACACGGCTGTGATCAGGAAATGACTCTTTATTTACACTGATTTATATGTGGACAGACAAATCCTTTAATCGTTTATTGTCTCCAGACATTTGTGTCAGGTTTCAACGCGCAGAGTAGTTCAGTGTGGCCGTGTGGTTTGTGTCCAGCTGATAAAATCACTACATCCAGCATATGCTTCACACTTGATTTGATTTCCTGCAAGGAAATTCCAGTGCTTATAGGCAGAAAAAAACTAATATTGTGTAATGATTTATGTAAGCTTAATTTTAGTCAGGGTCATCCCAGGCCCTCTAAAGTAGGGGTCCTCTACAGCAGGTCTTCCTTTAATCTCCTTTTTCTGAACCTTACACATATTATATCATCAGCTCATTAGTAGATATCTAAAATTTCACATCTTTGGACTCTCATTCTGACGGCACCCATTCACTGCAGAGGATCCACTGGTGAGCAAGTGATGTAACAAAACGTGCAATCAGATAGAAAAATTACGTTCAGAAGATGCTGAATGACTGGTGGATGTAGCTTAACAGCTTTAGAAGAAACTGTTAGAGATAGAGGTTAGAGATAAGATTATTTAAAAAGGAAAACACATAAATTAGCGGAATTATAGAATGCTGGATTTATCAAGCCAACATAAAACTAGAATGACTGAGAAATACCAAAATCACCAGCACAGGAGCATTGACATCTGAAACAGACTGGACTTCATTTATTTTCTGATAAGCAGCACATTTACACATTAGCATAATGAGAAGAAGAGTAAGAGGGTGTCAGATATTAATGTTCAAAATGGACTCATATCTCTGGGTGTGACTAGACTTTACAACACCCTGAACATAACAGCATGTGTTATGAAAACAGCCCTGAATCATCACAGTTACAGAGGGGCAAACACATTAAAAATGGCTGTAGAAAAAACAAAACCAAACCAAACCTTGTCCACAGATTCTCTAAAAACAACATATTTGCTAAACCAAACATGCTCAGATTTGTGAATCTCAGAAGGTGTTTTTGATCTTTGAAGCCACGAGGACCAGGATCTCTGCGATGTTCTTCTGCCAGTTGAGAATGTGTTTGGATTCAGCGCACCACAGCTCACCGTGCCGCGGCTCCGCGTTCTCACAGCGCTTCTTCACCTCCCGCTGTTGCTCCTGAGGGACAGAAGAACACCACAGTAAGACGAGATTCACCAAGGATGGAAAACAGCAAGCAGTACATCCTTCAAAATATCTCTTTTTGTCTTTCACGGAAGGAATCAGTGAAATGACATGATGAATAAATGACAGAATTTACATTTTTGGATTAAGAATTTCATTCCAAGTGTCTGTGCCTAAACTAGCTAACTTATTATTGCATAACAGCAGCAAGATCTGAGAAGACGTAAAACTTCTTACTTCTGTGCCGTGCTGAAGCTCAAACTTGCAGAAGAACGCCCAGGCGTCGCCCAAGTCTGGTTCAATCTTTACCGTCCGCAGAAACCACTCTCGCGCCTTTGTTACCTTCCTCTCGCTCCAAAACAATCTGCAGGATACACAAACACAGATATGGTATAAATGTAACTAAAAAGTTCAGACTGTTCTTGTCAAACAAGCAAAAAAAAAAAAGGGAGGAATGTGGGTGGGTAAACTGGAATTTAGAGCAGGGAGAAGTTTGGCAAGAGCCCGGTCAGGAGTCTTACTTGGCAACTGCCAGAAGTACATGAGGATCATGTTCACACTTCTTCAGAGCGTCAACACTCTTGGTCTTGCGCTGAGGTCTGGCCTCCAAGAACACGGCTTCAGCCCACAGGATGCCTGACAGGAAGAAGCGAGTGTTGAGGTGTGAAAATGTGCAGAGGCTCCTGACGGATCTGTTCAGGGTTGAAGAAAGCGTGGCTTACCAGAGTTAGGACACTCCTGAAGGGCTTTGGCCATGAGCGTGTTGGAGATGTTTTTCAATCCCGCTCTGTATTCAAGTCGGACAGACTCCAGCCTGCCAGAGAAATTGAGATTATTGCATATAAAGTTGTTTTGGTGAGATTTTCGAGATCTTGTCAAGTAATTAATGCATGTACCCTTCAACGCAAAGTAGCTGTCATTAAGTCTTAGATGGAACCAAGTTGTTCATGCCGAGCTGTCAATCAGACTGCACCCAGAGGTAAATTTACACGTGCTACTGTGATGGGGGCTGGGCTCATATTAATGAAGTGGCATGCTCATTCCAGCAGAGTTCAGCTCTAAAGTGAGTTTCTGAAGACCTTGATTAGCTGTTCAGGTGAGTTTATGTGAGGCTGGGGCCAAAATCTGCTGGAAAGGGTCCATCCAGGAACAGGACTGGAAACCCCTACACTTAAACCCAGCATAAGTGATTTGCTGAAATGGTATTTATTACTAATTAGTTGCTAGGAAGCTAGCAAATGGAAAAGGCATTACTCATGAATATTAATTAGGTTATGTGACTGAATGTTTCTGGAATTTACTGTGGCTGTGTCAACACAACCTAATTAATATTCATTAGCTAAGCCACTGTCATAGTAGAATTTATCATTATGCCACTTGCATATTAATTTTGTCGTAAATAAACATTCAAAAAGTACCATTCGCTACTTTTTAGTATAGGCTTTGTACTGAAGTACAAGTACCTTAACCAGTGTTGTGTTAATATTCATATACTATTAGGGATGTAACAATATCAAAATCTCACGATACTATATGAAGTCCACGATATGATATGTATTGCGATATAAAAAAAAAAAAAAAAAGACAAATGAAGAATTGGAAAAAAATGAAAATTTTGTACATTTTAAAGTTAAATTATTCTAATGCACTTTAAGAGTTCAAAATTAAGAGCTCCTACCCATGTTCTTAACTTAGAAACTTAAGTCAGAAAAAAGTAAGTGAATTGACTTGTACCTGAACTTCAAAGGGGACTCAACCCCCTTTTTATTTGCTGATTTACGGTCTCAGTCTAAATTACATTCACACTTTAGAAGCCAAACAAATTAGAATATAATATTAATAATAACAAAAACAATGACAGTAATAGCCATATATTGTAAAACAATTGCACTGTAAAAGAAATGAAAATGAATATTTTGTAGGTATATTATTTTTGCTTTACACTACAGTAGGGAAATTACAATACTTCTTTCCTAATTTCTACACTTGAAAGAGATATTTTGAATTTGGACTGCATTTAAACTGCTAGCTGTCAGCAATTTATACTGCACTTTTATATTTAGTTTTTATTTCGACGGAAAGTAGAGCTTTTATTTTGAAGGAAAACTCCAGCTTCAGTGAAAA